AAGCTCTGGTATATTCACTCAATGGAATACTATGCAGCACTGAAAAACAAGGAACTTCATAAAATATCATGCAAAATGGATGACCCTGGAGGATATTATGCTGAGTGAAATATCTCAGTCACAAAAGTACAAATATTGCATAGGGCCACTGTTTTAAAACGGGACTGGCATCAGGGTTGAAGAAAGACAGAAAAGGAGTGGAGGAATGATTTATATTGCATTGAAACATATAAGGGAGAGAACTATTTAAAAGGGATATGTGAATGGGTATTCTTGTCATTACAGAAGTCCAGAGTGAAGGCTGTATTGAGGAGTGGACTTGGGGGGAGGGGATTGCATAACAATGAAAGAGTTTTTCTTTCTTTTCAAAGAGAAGAGTGAATTGAGGAGGCGGGGGTAGGTAGGGAGGAAAGTGCAACTATGAATGACTGGAACACCGAAGTCTCTATAAACTTTCATTAAAATTAATTTTTAAAAAGATGCATCCTTATTAAAGAAATATTTGGCCATGTGTAGACACAATCAGACTAACTGAGCAACTGTTCTCTCAACAGCCATGAACACAGAACAGTCACACCAGGATGAACACCTGCTCCAAGGCAAAAAAAGGCAAGATCTCAAAGAAATGCTAAAAGAAGTGGGTCTTGATACTGAGTATTGGCTGGCACAACTTCAGAATGAACTGGGTGTGGGCTCTGCCCAAGCATTACAACACCTGGAAGAAAAAGACCTCCTGAAGCTGAAGGCCCAGACACGACATTGTTGGGAAACAAAGGCCCTGGAAACACTGCTTACTCTGTCTCACTCAAATAGCCTGTCAACATTACAGAAGTCTCAGCAGGTACACCACACACTGCAGGAGCAGAAGGACTTGATGTCAGAAAGGAAACAGAGACAGGAAGAGGCAGTGAAGACAAAAGAAGCAGAGCCTGGGCTAGCAGTGGAGACCCCAAAAGAGCATGGGCTACCCTATGCGAAGCCTCTAAGGGAAGTCAAGGAAAATATGCAAGGAGAACTCGATCGCAAGGAGGGAACAGTATCCCACAGCGAAAATTTCTCAGATGGGGATCTAGTGAGATGGGCATCTGGAGGTCTGGCCTTGCAGGGAATCTACAAAACCAGGCACCAGAGAGATCTGATAGAGAAGAGAGAGGAGCTACTCAGTGTCCCCAAAGATTTCACACTCTTTGGTCCTGAACATGGCACTCGGATGGAGACGAAGGAATTCTCATCTTCTCAAGCAGAATCTATATTTACTCAGACTATACAGAAGTTGGGCTTCAGTTTAACAGGCTCAGTAAAGGCAGAAGGGTGGGGATTCAACATGGAGGCAGGTAGGAATCACAGTCAACAAGCCGAATCACAGGAGCATCAAAAGTCACATTCTCAACACTCTTATTTTTGCACAACTAAGTTCTGTTATGTCCCACTAGCCTCTTGCCACTTTACTATCGACAAACTTAAGTTTTCCAAAGCTGCACTACAGGAACTGAAATGCATTGAAGACCTTCTAGAGCAATGTGAAGGCACAGACGCCCTCCCTCTGCTTAGGCACAGGACCGAGGCCTTCTTCCACAGGTTTGGCTCTCATGCTAACAAGGGCCCTCTTCACCTGGGTGGAATCTACTGGTGGAAGGCTGTTTCAGAAGGTTTCCAAAGAGAACAACTGGAGGAAGTGAAAAAGCAGTCAGTAGAAGCCCTGGATTTGTTCATAAAAGGCAGCTCCAATAGCTATGGAGTGAAAATTACTAACAGTGTGCATTATTTACCCTCTGATTCGAAAGCATTCTCTGAGAGTTCTAACTTCCAAAATACCCAAACCAAAGTCCAATTATCTGTGGCACATACTGGTGGCCTACCAGAGACAGGTGGCCTTACCCTGTGGAAAGCTGGGCTCACTGCCAATAACAAAACCTGGTGTGTCATTGATCGGGGATTTCAGTTGGTGCCCATTTGGGACATCATCTTCTCCAGTCACAGAAGGGATTTTAAAGATCCACTTCAGGTGGCCAACTGCCTCAAAGACAGCTACACTGCTCTGACAGGGCTCCCTGCCCAGATCCAAGAGGGAGAGGAACTGCTCAGTGCCAACCAGGAGGCTAAGCTGTTCCTAGAGGATGTGAAATCCTGGGAGGTATCGGATCCTGAAGAGCAGCTGAAAAAGCTCACCCATTTCATGCAAATGCTGTGTCAAAAAATTAAAAGTTATGACACCTGGATTAAAATATGTCTCACAGATCGGAGCTTGCAGGATTTTCTGGTGAACACAGTCAACTTTTGCAAAGAGTCTTCTATTCCTAACACCAAATTCATTAAGTCTCAGCTGCAAACACTTCTGGATCCTCACATCTACAAAGCAACCAACTTTCCTCAGGCGCACTCCATCATGCAGTGGATCTTTCAAACAACGTCACAAGAAGAACTAGTCAACATCTCTCAATTATCTGAAGTAATTAAATTGTTACGTGAGAAACAGAATGCCCTACTAGAAATTAAAGCTCAATCTAAGTCCCAGGAAACAATGGAGCAAGCTCGAAGAAAAGCCACTTATGAAATTAACTTGTGTCTCAACTCCTTCTTGGAGAACCTGGAGAAAAAACAACATTCAGAAACACACCTCTTACTACTTTGCATCTCAGCTAGCGCAGGTTATAATTTGGAAAATCATACTTTTAAGAGTCTCCTGGGAAGTGAAGAGTTAGATTACTTGCTGAATGAAATGCAAAAGGCCCATGACACATACCAGGAGCTGAAAAATACTTGCAGGTACAGGGCTCAGGCTTTCCTGGTGCTCACGGGGCTGACAGCCACTGTAGGAATTAGGGCTGTTCCTCCAGAGAAGAAAATGCAACGCCTAGCTTTAATGAGACATCACATTGGACAATCCTTTTGTAAAGAAGTTGAACACGTCCTCACCAAACCTGGGGCACATCATGATTGGGAAAACCTCGAAAAAGACTTGCAATTGCTCATTGATGGCAAGTATGAAGACACTGTACCGTCTTTGCACATGGATGAAGTAAAAAGACAATTAGAAAGTATCTTCCATGAAAAGAAACA